AAATTAGATAAAAAATATCATTGCGAAGAAAACTTTAAATGATATTCTCCCCTCCTAAGTCATAACTGTAAAAGGCTAATATAGGATTATTGCTCTAGAAGCTTCTACAACTATTTCCATTGAATTTAATTGTACAAAGTATTACCCTGCAAATTATTTAACTTCGTCATGATTCATATATTTTTCCGGAGCAGACGCACTAATTTTAGTGATGATATAGGTTATAAGGTCACATTCGCCAGCCTGGAGGTCGACTGCTATGGGCCTCAGTTGATTCAGAAAATTTTCTTGAAGTCGTTTGAAACGGGAATGAGAGACGATATTTTAGCTACAAACCTGCGTCCAACTCTGCGCACCCCTCAGCTAACAGACGAACAATTAGTGAAACAAGTGGATGAGCTGGCTTCCCATCATTTAGAGCAAAGAAACAAGCTCACCACAGAGCGACAAAAGAGCGCAAAAGTGAACGCCTGCGCCACCACCAACGATCACAAGAATTATGTTGCAGTCCCACGACCACTTTATCCCGAGGTGAAAGCTTACATCGAAGATCTCCTCAACAGGCAATTCATTCGACCATCTAAATCCTCTTATAGCTCACCAGTGGTCTGCTTGTGCTACTCAAGTCGCCTCGAGTACGCCGTTTACTTGGAAGCCTGAACATCAGAAGGTCCTAGAGTCCTTTTAAAAATATAAATATACTCAGTCATTCGACCAAAGCCAATAACAAAGAAGGAATCGGAAGCGAATTTTCGCAAGCTGCAAAATTATATACAAGATCTCACTGAGATATACGACATGGTGAGACCATAAGGAGAAGATGGCGAGAGTATATATTGCTTTATGTGCTACGCACATGTCATATGGTTGTAAAATACGTTATATGATCTCTGGCGTGCCTTTTATGTATGGTAATGAAATAAAGGATTACGGCGTGGATGCATTATTCAGACTATCCCTCTGATTTCTTGGTCTTGTTGGTGTTAATAAACTTATGCTATAGTTGGTTTTGTGCGATGTATTTTTGAGATGTTGAGTTTGAGATGTTGAGTCCGTAGACTATCCGCTGAGTCACAAATGAGGTTGGATTATGATTTGATCAAGCAACCAACTTACCTGTGTTTGTAGCTTTACAATAGACAGCTGTTTTTAAGACATTATCACGACTAAGGTATAGGTCACATTGAACCATTTTTCGGTCAGATTTTGACCAAAATTCAATTCAATTAAATATTCGGAACGAATAGGATTTTTATGTTTTTAATGCCTTTGTATCTTCCATTATTATTCTAATTTGATATGCTGCATGTCGATGTGACTTATTGGCTATTGGTAATGAAAAACCCCTTTCATGTATTCAGTCATTTAACTGATTTCTGTAATTATGCCTTATATAGCTTATCAGTTAGTCTTATCACGTGGTGCATAGTTTTAAGATGAAGTCATATCCACTATTGGGCTAACTGTTGAATAGATTTTTGTACTATGTACCAAATAGGGTACTTCTCAGTAATTCTACTATCCATATAAGCATATCTTACAATTTATCAGAGTACTGCGCATAGGCAGGAATCAGGGCATAGCAGTGATAATACATTACAACAGTGTCCGGTCTCATTCTGGCACAGCACACCTTACTGCCTGTTCAAAACGCCCTCCTCCTCCCCTTGCCGGTCCTCTTGGTTACTTTATTGTGCCCACACCTTTACTGGTCGAATGTGATTTAAGCTTATTATTCAGTTGTGGTTAAATATTAAAGGTTTTGATTGATTATTAAATATGGCTTTGAGGGTAATAAGCCATGGACTTAAAGGGTAGGCACTATCCCAAACCAAGTATGATCCAATGATATGTTTATTTACATTAGCGGTTGGTGCAGCGAGTATATTTCTTTGCTCGGCTTCCCTGTATATGCCGCTGCACCTGATTACACGGGCATCATGCATGCTTCCAGGGTATTCAAATGCAAAGTCAATGAGTTAACTACTCCTTAAACAATAAAGTCATATTGTTGATACTTGCTAAAATAGTCAGGTGCGCATTCAAAAGGTGTTTTAATTCTAATATGACAACCATCTATTGCCCCGACTATGTTTGGCAACTAACTGTCGGAAAACGGCATGTTTCAATAACATAAAATGAACACTTTCCAAGGGGCGCTACCGTGTGCCGTAAAATATGTTAGAAATAGACCTTTCTAGAGGCTGAATGCCAATTTTGAACTAGAGAAACAAGAGACTAGGCTCGAGTACGCCGAGTCTACAGACGTGTCTTATCGAGCTCTTGGATTATAACTAAAAATTTTTAAATAAAATGACAAAGGAACTGGTCACAAAATTGAAGAAAGAGAATGAACAACTTAAGACAGAAGTAGGGGAACTGGCAAAGCAGCTGGAAGAGCTAAAGAACAAATTCTCCGAATTAAAYGTCGTCCCGTCCGCCCGCGTTGAAGTCAACGAGAATCAGACAAGTCTACAATTCCTCTCAGACGAATATGAGGATTTCAAGACGTTCAGAGATTCTACGGTACAAGAGTTAAGAAGAGCATCTCAAAAGCTTTTAACATCGAGCAAAAGCTGTCGAATATCGAGGAAGCCATTGAGTCAATGATGAAGTACAGTTACAAGTATAACGTCAAGATAATTGGTATACAGCAAAAAAACAGGTATGAATCAGCCGAAGAGACTGTGGAGATATGTATAAAGCTGTTTAAAGCCCTGGGAACTAAAGTTGAAGAACATGATATTGACATTGCCCACCGAGTTAAAGCCAGAAAAACTAAGGTTCCCCCTCCAATAATATGTAAATTTACGTGTCGCATCGCGAAAGAATATGTAATGAAAAACAGAAGAAAAATGGATTCCATCGACCTGGAATCAATCGAACTCTCCATCTCTGGGAAGATTGCAATTTTCGAGCACTTGACGCCTCAAGCTTAGGAGCTATATCACAAAGCCAAGGATTTTCAAAGAGAGAATAAATAAGCATTTTGAAGACTCTTGGATTGTAAAAGTTACAAATCCTCTGGTCTTACAAAGATTGCCGAAGGAAACAGCGCAGGGTCTACCGCCAGGCCCCCCAGTACCGTGGCGAAACTTCCAGCAACAAGAACATGCCGGCCATAATGAAGAACAACCAGCTTTTGAAGTAACAACAAGATCTCAAGTCAGAGACAAGGAGAGTTAGTGAACTGCTTAATATCTATACTAGGTTATTACTACATTACTATTAAGTAAAACTATACACAACAAGATATCCTGGCCAGGATATATATTTTGAGGCAAATATATTTTGAATTGTTCTTAAGAAAACCGCAATATGCAAAATACGTTTACTCTTCCTTTACTTTCGCTTAACGTAAGAGACTTAGGGGAATTTAAGAAAAAAACAAAAGAGTCTTTAACTGGCTTTATAAACACAATAGTCATAAAGGAGTCTCATTTTTGCAAGAATCGCATAGCACATTAAACGTCATGGAGCAGTGGTCAAACCAAACTAAAGGAAYACTGATTATGGCACACGGGTCATCAAGGAGTAGAGGTGTTGCAATCTTAATGGGGAGAGATCTGAATCATAAAATAATAGAAAAAAAAATAGACCATAATGGAAGATACATTCTACTACTTAGTGAAATTGAAGGAAATACTTTTCTTTTTATTAATGTTTATTTGCCCAATCACGAAAACGAACAGGTTGTAGTACTAAACGACATAATCAAAACGTTACAATCTGTTGATATTCCCACAGATACATGCATTATATTTGGAGGGGACCTTAATGTAATTTTTGATATTGCTCTTGAATCTTCCGGAGGTAACCCTGTACTTAAAACGAAATCGTTTGAGACAATTGAGGCCATTATGTCGGAATATGACCTTTGTGACATTTGGAGAATCCGTAATACGTATACTAAAGGTTTTACATGGAGAGGGAAAGCTCAAGGAAAAAGGAGTTCTAGTGAGATACTTTATAGAAGACTAGACTTTTTTCTTATTTCCGATTGCCTACAACCGTTTGTAGAGAAATGTGATATCTCACCCGCACCATAAACAGACCATTCAGCGATAACACTTACGTTATAATCCTTTACAACAGACAGTGCAGGTCCGTCGTTCTGTTCAGGACTTGTGTGATATTAAAGGAAATATTAATTGGGGTAATAAGCTATCAATGGGACTGGAAATCAGGATAAATTTAAATGGTATCAGTTGTCTCACTCGATACCCCTAGACTGGAAGAAAAAGCTAAATGAAAGTACAAGAATAGGACAACTACATTAAGATTAAAACAAAGGATATTTATTGTCATTTAATAAATAAAATATTTGTAAAACCATCCGCTCAGGAAACGCTAGCTAAAAAAATTGGAGATAACCATCGTATTGATTTGGGAAAGGTATATGAACGAATTTATAGTACAACAATAGATACGTATTTGAGGTATTTCCAATACAAAATAGTTAACAATATTCTGTATCTTAATTGTGACCTCTATCGATTCCAGATAGTTGATTCGCCATCCTGCCCT